TGGGTGGCTCAGTTGGTTAAGCGACTGCCTTGGGCTCAGGTCATGATCCTAGAGTCCCGGGATCGAGTCCCGCATCGGGCTCCCTGCTCGGCAGGGAGTCTGCTTCTCCCTCTGACCCTCCTCCCTCTCATGCTCTCTATCTCATTCTCTCTCTCAAATAAATAAATAAAATCTTAAAAAAAAAAAAAAGAAAAAAGAAAAGGCTAGGGTAAGGCTATCATTGAAAATGGAGAGATAAAAAGCTTCCAGGACAAACAGAAACTAAAAGAATTTGCAATCACCAAACCAGCCCTACAAAAAATATTGAAAGGGGTGCTCTAAGCAAAGAGAGAGCCCAAAAGTAACATAGACCAGAAAGGAACGGAGACAATATACAGTAACAGTCACCTTACAGGCAAAACAATGGTACTAAATTCATATCTTTCAATAGTTACCCTGAATGTAAATTGGCTAAATGCCCCAATCAAAAGACACAGGATATCAAATTGGATAAAAAAGCAAGACCCATTGATATGCTGTCTGCAAGAGACTCATTTTAGACCCAAAGACACCTCCAGATTTAAAGTGGGGAGGTGGAAAACCATTTATCATGCTAATGGACATCAAAAGAAAGCTGGGGTGGCAATCCTTATATCAGACAAATTAGATATTAAGCCAAAGACTGTAATAAGAGATGAGGAAGGACACTATATCATACTTAAAGGGTCTATCCAACAAGATCTAAAAACTGTAAATATTTCTGCCCCTAATATAGGAGCAGCCAATTATATAAGCCAATTAATAACAAAATCAAAGAAACACATCAACAACAATACAATAATAGTAGGGGACTTTAACACCCCCCCCCCCATGGAAATGGGACAGATCATCTAAGCAAAAGATCAACAAGGAAATAAGGGCTTTAAATGACACACTGGACCAGATGGCCTTCACAGATATGTTCAGAACATTCCATCCCAAAGCTACAGAATACACATTCTTCTCTGGTGCACATGGAACATTCTCCAGAATAGATCACATCCTGGGTCACAAATCAGGTCTCAACCAGTACCAAAAGACTGCATATTTTCAGACCACAATGCTTTGAAACTTGAGCTCAATCACAAGAGGTAAGTCGGAAAGAACTCAAATACATGGAGGCTGAAGAGCATCCTACTAAAGAATGAATGGGTCAACCAGGAAATTAAAGAAGAATTTAAAAAATTCATGGAAAAAAATGAAAACACAACAAAATCTTTGGGAGGCAGCAAAGGCTGTCCTAAGAGGGAAGTATACAGTGATACAAGTCTTTCTCACGAAAAAAGAAAATTCTCAAATACACAACCTAACCTTACACCTAAAGGAGCTGGAGAAAGAACAACAAATAAAGCCTAAACCCAGTAAGAGAAGAGAAATAATAAAGAGTAGAGCAGAAATCAATGAAATAGAAACCAAAGGAACAGTAGAACAGTTCAATGAAACTAGGAGCTCATTCCTTGAAAGAATTAATATGATTGATAAACCTCTGGCCAGACTTATCAAAAAGAAAAGAGAAAGGACCCAAATAAATAAAATCATAATGAAAGAGGAGAGATCACAACACACAGAAGAAATACAATTATAAGAACATATTATGAGCAACGATATGCCAACGAATTAGACAATCTGGAAGAAATGGGTGTATTCCTAGAGACGTATAAACTACCAAAACTAAACCAGGAAGAAATAGAAAACCTGAACAGACCCATAACCAGCAAGGAAATTGAAGCAGTAATCAAAAATCTCCCAACAAACAAGAGCCCAGGGCCAGATGGCTTCCCAGGGGAATTCTACCACATTTAAAGATTCTGAAACTGGGCGCCTGGGTGGCTCAGTTGGTTAAGCGACTGCCTTCGGCTCAGGTCATGATCCCAGGGTCCTGGGATCGAGTCCCGCATCGGGCTCCCTGCTCTGCAGGGAGCCTGCTTCTCCCTCTCCCACTCCCCCTGCTTGTGTTCCCCCTCTCGCTGTGATCTCTCTGTCAAATAAATAAATAAAATCTTAAAAAAAAAAAAGATTCTGAAACTGTTCCAAAAAATAGAAACGGAAGGAAAACTTCCAAACCAATTTTATGAGGCCAGCCTTACCTTGATCCCAAAACCAGACACAGACCCCACCAAAAAGGGGAATTACAGACCAATATCCCTGATGAACATGGATGCAAAAATTCTCACCAAAATACTAGCCAATAGGATCCAACAGTACATTAAAAGGATTATTCACCATGACCAAGTGGGACTTATTCCTGAGCTACAAGTTTGGTTCAACATTTGCAAATCAATCAGTGTGATACACTACATTAATAAAAGAAAGGACAAGAACTATATGATACTCTCAATAGATACAGAAAAAGCATTTGACAAAGTACAGCATCCTTTCTTGATTAAAACTCCTCACAGTATAGGGTTAGAGGGTACATACCTCAATATCATAAAAGCCATCTATGAAAAACCCACAGCAAATATCATTCTCAACAGGGAAAAACTGAGAGCTTTTCCCCTAAGGTCAGGAACACGGCAGGGATGTCCACTATCACCACGGCTGTTCAACATAGTACTAGGCATCCTAGCCTCAGCAATCAGATAACAAAAAGAAAGAAAAGGCATCTGAATCAGCAAAGAAGTAGTCAAATTCTCACTCTTTGCAAATGATATGATACTTTATGTGGAAAACCCGAAGGACTCCATCCCAAAATTGCTAGAATTCATACAGGAATTCAGTAAAGTGGCAGGATATAAAATCAATGCACAGAAATCAGTTGCCTTTCTATACACCACCAACAAGACAGAAGAAAGAGAAATTAAGGAGTTGATCCCATTTACAATTGCACCAAAACCCATAAGATACCTAGGAATAAATCTAACCAAAGAGGCAAAGGATCTGTACTCAGATAACTATAGAATACTCATGAAAGAAATTGAGGAAGACACAAACAAATGGAAAAACATTCCATGCTCATGGATTGGAAGAACAAATATTGTGAAAATGTCTATGCTACCTAGAGCAATCTACACATTAAATGCGATCCCTATCAAAATACCATCAACTTTTCTCTCAGAGCTGGAACAAACAATTCTAAAATTTGAATGGAACCAGAAAAGACCCTGAATAGCCAGAGGAATGTTGAAAAAGAAAAGCAAAGCTGGTGGCATCACAATTCCGGACTTCAAGCTCTATTACAAAGCTGTCATCATCAAGACAGTATGGTACTGGCACAAAAAGAGACACATAGATCAATGGAACAGAATAGAGAACACAGAAATGGATTCTCAACTCTATGGTCAACTAATCTTTGACAAAGCAGGACAGAATATCCAATGGAAAAAAGACGGTCTCTTCAACAATGGTGTTGGGAAAATTGAACAGCCACATGCAGAAGAATGAAACTGGACCACTTCCTTACACCACACACAAAAATAGGCTCAAAATGGATGAAAGACCTAAATGTGAGACAGGAATCCATCAAAATCCTTGAGGAGGACAAAGGCAACAACCTCTTCGACCTTGGCCACAGCAACTTCTTCCTGGACACATCGCCAAAGGCAAGGGAAGCAAGGGCAAAAATGAACTATTGGGACTTCATCAAGATAAAACAGCAAAGGAAACTGTCAACAATACCAAAAGACAACAGACAGAATGGGAGTAGGTATTTGCAAATGACATATCAGATAAAGGGCTGGTATCCAAAATCAATAAAGAACTTATCAAACTCAACACCCAAAGAACAAATAATCCAATCAAGAAATAGGCAGAAGACATGAACAGACATTTCTGCAAAGAAGACATCCAAATGGCCAACAGACACATGAAAAGTGCTCAACATCACTCAGCATCAGGGAAATACAAATCAAAACCACAATGAGGTACCACCTCACACCAGTCAGAATGGCTAAAATTAATAAGTCAGGAAACAACAGATGTTGGCAAGGATGTGGAGAAAGGGGAACCCTCCTACACTGTTGGTGGGAATGCAATCTGGTGCAGCTACTCTGGAAAACAGTATGGAGGTTCTTCAAAAAGTTGAAAATAGAGCTACCATATGATCCAGCAATTGCTCTACTGGGTATTTACCCCAAAGATACAAATGTAGCAATCCTAAGGGGTACATGCACCCCAATGTTTATAGCAGCAATGTCCACAATAGCCAAACTATGGAAAGAGCCAAGATGTCCATCGACAGATGAATGGATAAAGAAGATGAATTCCTAGGGAAGAAACCAGAGAGGGAGACAAACCATAAGAGACTCTTAATCTTAGGAAACATACCGAGGGTTGCTGGAGTGGAGGGGGATGGGAGGGATGAAGTGGTTGGTGATTGACATTAGGGAGGGTATGTGTTTTGATGAGCGCTGTTTATTCTGTAAGACTGATGAATCACAGACCTGTACCCCTGAAACAAATAATACATTATATATTAATTAAAAAAAAAAAAGGAAAGGCTAGGGTGAAATAGGTGATGGGGATTAAGGGTCGAACTTGTGATGAGCACCGGGAGTTGTATGGAAGGGTTAATCACTAAACTGTACACCGGAAACTAACATTACACTGTATGTTAACTAACTGGAATTTAAGTAAAAACTTATAAAAAGTCTAGATTATACTTGGCTAGTTCTATTTATAGGATAAAAGGAACTCTGTCACACTTTTATATAATTTATAGAATTTCCTTTATAGAATAAAAGCAAATATGTGATAGAGTTCCTTTTATCCTAGAAAGATTTTATTCAAAAATTTATTGTTATAATTATTATTAAGTACATTTTTGGAACTTAAAAGGGTGAGCTTTAGTTACTAGGAAAATTAACTTTGGGGAATGACCTTACTTTCTGTTAATTCTTTTTTTTTTCTTTCTGTTAATTCTAATTAATTAGGAATTACTATTATTTGATTCTGCATTTAATACTTACTTTTTTATTTACTAGCACTAGATTCTGTCACATGAGTGCTTAAATAAATTATTTTTTATTTCCTTTGAATTTTAGAAGTCTCTACTATCTGGGCAAATGTGTCAGAATTTGTGGAACGGCAGCTATCCCTACACAAGGTAAGATTTATACTTTAAGTTTAATGCAAGAGTCCAAAGGACTTTTCCTCCTTAGTCTTGTATAAGTTTGCTGTGAGCAAGATAGCAGACTTTAGGGCCATCCAATTTAACTTTCAGTCCTGTGATTTTATGATGCTCCCACTTATGACTTATGGATAGTAGATTTAACAAACATGGATTTTATTTTTAGGTAATGAATTTGTAAAAGTTCTGCTCTTCTAGTTGATACCAAGAAGATCACTGACTAGCCTGGCTATGTGTAGAGGAACTAGATGAATTCTGTTTATCTGTGACCTGATAGTTCCTGGCATAGTTATAGAAGGATATACTGCTTCCTGTTTTGCCTCCTTGCAGGGAATGGGTTTTAACTTAAACACAAGAAGACAATCAGGGACTGAACTCATCTTGCCAAAAATGAGAAACTGTGCCCAGCCTTGATTTTGGATGCCATAGAACTGGACAGATATTTGAGGAATCTGGGGGGAGCTGGGAAACTGTGGAACTTATAAGATGCTCAGAGGTCCCAATATGACAGCCCTTCGGCCGAATTCATCCTTCAAACTTTTGTTTGGTCTGATAATTTGAATTAGTCATCACCACCTAAAGTTTGGAGAGTCTATATAAAGTTTTGCATCTCTCTCTCTCTTTTCTTGAAAAATCAGCAGATTTAACAATACCAGTTTTCCACTCCTGCATGATGACACTTGGCTGGAGCCAACAATGGGCTCTCGCCTTTGAATGGGATTTGTACTTTCTAGCCACTGCATTCTCTGGTTGGCTACCTTCACTCCTTTGCATTCTTTCATGGTGCCTGTAGGCATTTATAACCCTTGAGGTACGATATTTCCAGGGAGACAGAGACCCAGTTTGAGAGCCAAAAGCATTTGCTTTTACCCATCAGCCAAGATCACAACACTGCAGCATATGCCTTGGATGCTGGATTGTCTGATTTTAAATGAGAGATGAAACCTAAAAGACAGAATGAGAAAGCAGACATTCTTGTGGCCTCTTAAATTCCCTCTCTCTAATGGCAAATGATTAAAATTTAGAATTTCACACAATTTAGGACAAGAGGAATCTTTTTTTTTTTTAAAGGATTTTATTTATTTATTTGAGAGAGAGTGAGTGTGAGAGAGCATGAGGGGGGCGTTGGGGGGTGGAGAGGCAGATGGAGAGGGAGAGGCAGATGGAGAGGGAGAAGCAGATGAGCAGGGAGCCCAACGTGGGACTCCATCGGAGGACCCTGGGGTCATGACCTAAGCCAAAGACAGACACTTAACCAACTGAGCCACCCAGGTGCCCAGGACAGAGGAATCTTAAAAATAGATTAAAAGTAGCTATGGCACCTATACAAGTTTTCTTAGTCCTCACAGCCCTTGAATGATAATGAAGATGGACGATCTGATGTCAGAAGCATTGGAGATCAATATATTACATTTATATTTATATGGAAACTTAGAGCCATAATGTGCTATAGCTGTAGGAGATTGTAGGGATCATTGACTGTTTAATGCTTAATTCTTTCCATGTTTTTTGGATAATGGTACTAAGAGTTATTTTTCCTTATCCCTTCAGTGAATTTGGGTTGTTGCTCTTTTTTTTCCCCTCCTTTTTTCTTTCAGGGGGTTCAGATCCCAGGACTTGGAATTTTCACTTTCATGAGACAAAAACTTGAGGTGGGAAACAACAAGTTTATTCTGATTCAGAGGCCCATATTTATCATGGCGGAGAAGTTAGTACAGATTCATGGACTCAAGCAAAACAAAATATATATTCCTGGTAAATATCTTCAACATTTAAGACCTTCTCAGAAAGTAACTGGCCTGGGGATGAAAATGAAAGGGCAAAGTCTGTTCATTTGCTGCGTTACTGGTTTCTGATTTGAGGAGCTCTCTTTTCACGTGGTCCCTTTGGAAGAGTGGGGGGCCAATGCAGGAAATGATATACAGTCTTCCTGCAGGCCATTTTAAACCTCAGTGGCTTAAGAGGCAGGCGTGGGAAGACTTGATGTGACATCAAGGCAAATTTATATAAATGCCACATTACAGAGTTGTGCAGACTTTATTCATTTTTTTAGCCCTCAGAAGTTAAATGGCTATATTGAAAAAGTTAATTAGGGTTTCTGGTTAGAATTATAGTCCATATTAGCTATGAAAAAGATCACTAACTGTTTCTATCATGTGTAATCTAAATTATTAAAATTTAAAAGTGAGAAGGTTAGTAATTCCATAGACTTAATGAACACCTTGTATACCTCTCACACCCTCAAATCTTCTTTCCTCCTACCCTCCTTCCCCCTGCCTTCCTTTCTTCCCTCTTTCCACAAATATTTACTGAGGCCCAACTATGTGTCAGGCTTTGTTCCAGGAGTTTGAGATATAGTGGTAAACAAAACAGGCATGACACCTGACACAGGATGCTTTCTTACATTCCAGCTTTGGTGTGTGGACTTAGTGACACCTGCCCTGGTTGCTTAGGGGCCTTTGGGGGCTTCCTTCCCAATTTCTGGGCTGTGTTCCTTTTGACCTTCCTTATTATCCCCTACTGCATCAGACTCATACATGGATAAAGAGAGACAGTCTATCCCCAAAGTCAGCAGGTGAAAAGGCTAAAATTTGTCTTTATGTGAACTTCCCTGAAAGTTAATTTTCAGAGTAACTTCCCACCAAAAAATGAAAGATTGGAAAAACAAATACCAACAAATTAGAATTAGAATTCATTATGCATATAATCTGTATGGTAGATTTGATTGACTTTTCAGACATTTTTACCTACAGTTTTATGGACATATAATATCCTAATTCATCAAAAACCTACCAAAGTGAAAATATAGCCAACTTTTTTTTTTGACAAAAACATTTGCTCCTTAGAATTAGCTTTCCATCTTGAATCTCATAGTATACTCTAAAAAAGTAGTTTAGATCCATAGTTAATTTTTTTTACAAGGTTGAAGAATTAGTTATTTTTTTTATAAGTTTGAAGAAATTTCAGAATTAAATATATATGCTTGAGTTAATTCACAAGAACAATTCTGCCTAGAGTTTAGCTTTGGAGTTACGATTCTTCATCATTAATTAACTAGGTAACTAATTAAACATTACACAGTGATTCTTAAAGATTGTCAAGATATGATCCTTGCTTTGAAGAGCTCAGAATTTAGCATGGGAAATAAATATGTAAGCAAATGTTGCAACATGATTAAATGCTGTGAAAGCAGCATTGATCAGAACTGGATCAAGTGCTAGGGGAGCTGAGAGGAGAGCATGCCTAACTTTGCTCAAGGAGGGTTAGGAAGATGACATATACCAGGAGGTCTTAAAGGTCTTGATAGGACTTTGTTGGCAGAGAAGCTGAAAATATTTCAGGAACAGTATGAATAATTCAAGAATAAAAGAAAGAGTAAAACCTATTAAGGAAGTAACGAGTACTTCTGTATGACCAGGGCATATGATTGTGGAGGCGAGTGGAGGGAGGTAAGACAAAAATGGTAGCAGTCAAATTGTGAGGGGCCTTTGGCAGTATGATAAAGACTTTGGAGTTCATCCTACAGGCAATGGGGAGCCATTGAAAGTTTTTGAGCAGGGAATTGTATGTACTAGTCCAGTTTTTAGTTTAGGAAGATAGCTCTTTTAGTTATAGTAGTTTTGGGGTGCCTGGGTGGCTCAGTTGGTTAAGTGCCTTCAATTCAGGTCGTGATCCCAGGGCTCTGAAATCAAGCCCTGCATCAGGCCCCCTGCTCAGCAGGGAGTCTGCTTCTCCCTCTCCTTCTACACCTCCCCCGCTGCTTGTGCTTTCTCTTTATCTCTCAAATAAATAAATAAAATCTTTAATTTCAGTAGTTTGGTGAAATATGGTAGAAGCCTGAATGAAGGCATTGGTAATCAGGAGGACAATGGAGGAGTCAATTTATGACATATTTCATATGGAGAACTGATGGGATTTGGCTGCCAGTTGAGAGTGGTAGGTAGCAAGAAGAAGGGACTCAGATTTCTTGGAAAATAGATGTACGTTCTTGTCATCAATGCCATAGGGAAAGAAGGGGGAAGGCAGGTTGGGATGGCAGGTAAAATAATGAGTTCACTTTTGGACATGTTAAATTTGAAATTCCCATAGCGATACTTAGGTGGAGATAATCCAAAGCTCAGGAGAGGGATGGAGACTAGAGGTCAAGATTTGGATAAATTTACTTAGGAGAGGATATGAAGTAAGGGGAGGAGACAGACAAGGACAAAGTCTTGTTTACAAAAAAAAATGCAGCAATAAAACACCATCTTATCAGAAGTAGAAGAGGAAGGAAGTCAGCAAAGGAGACCAAGGAAGAGGAAATTGGAGAACCAAGAATAGTGCCATGGATACAAGAGCAAAGAGAGGGCATGTCCAAACAGGAGTTACAGAGAGGTCATGAGAGTAAGATTTACAATGTATCCATTCTCTTGTCCATCATGAGTTGATACTGTCCTTACTGAGATAAGTGGGCTGGAAGACAGATTGAAGAGATGCATTGGACGAATGGGAGGGGACAATCTAGAGGCAGGCAATAGAGCATTTTCTTTTAAGAAATTTACAAAAAATAATAAATAAAATGGAAGAAGGTGGTATAGAATCGCCATTAAATTGTGCAGAAGACTATGGACTGATATAGGGAAGTTTGTGTCTTGTAGAGATATTAATCCTCATCAGCTAGCACTATTGGACACTTGAAAAGCTGTAAAGTAATGCTTGCTGAATGAATGTTTAGAATGTTCTTATCTTCTTCCTATCCTGTTCCTCTATTAGTGGATCTTGTTTACTGCCTCTTTTTGGATTTATCCTCTTGATCATTTTTGTTATTTACCCCCTTTTCTGACTGGCGGTCTGTTCTAGTGGAATAGACCCTGTGCTTATTTTTATGTTAGGTATAACCATATTCCTCTGCAATATAATTTATGGACTTATTAGGGAGGAAAAGCAAGTTATCCAGTCTGATACCCTCCGTTAAGAAACACTTTCATTTGAAGGTAACTTCTATTGAAGATGACTCTTTTCAAAACTGTTGGCATTTATAGATATTTATAAACATTTAAAAACGGTTTGATAACTGGAGGAGATAGGCAAATATTGTGACAGTATGTCCTGAGAGATAAAGGGCTGAAAACTTCAGAAAACACTCTGATGAAGAGATGCAGTTATTTATTACTGTGTCTCCAAGATAAAACCAAAAGCTTGTCTGGAGTACTGCTTAGAAAGCTAATTGTTCTTATTTTGAGCAAAAAATATACTTTTAGGGAAAATTGTGCCTATTACTGTCTATTGATAGGGTATAACTAAGGGCACATGGACAATTCTATTTTTCAGTACTGAGAATTAAATAATTATTTGTGAGTCTATATGATATGTCTTTGTTGTAATTTCCACTTCTTTTCCCCCCACCCTGTCTTTTTCTCCTCTAGGTGATATCCCAGTTGTTCCACTTAATTTTGTCATGATATCCCTGGAGGGTCCATTTAGCAGGGATACAGTGGAAGGATGTGTGAAGGAGACATTGCTTGTTTTATCACGATCAATTTCCATCAAACAAAATGTAGAATTTACTTTCAAAGGAATCGGGGTCCTTGTGATTAGAGGCAACAAAGTGAAGATGAGATTTTATAAGGACTTCCTTTGTTCAATGGATGGAAGTGGGGCTTTGGCAAAAGCCCTAGCAAATGTAAATTAAGGTTTTCCTTCTCTAAACCCCTCTCCCAATCATAGCTTTGAATTAACTGTGTGTCATTAATTATTAAGAAAAATTCAGGTTGAGGTGTGCCTGGGTAGTTCAGTTGGTTAAGCGACCGACTCTTGATTTCAGCACAGGTCATAATCTCAGGGTCATGAGATCGAGCCCCACATTGGGCTCCATGCTCAATGGGGAGTCTGTTTGAGATTCTCTCTCTCCCTCTCCCTCTGCTCTTCCTCCTGCTCGCATGCACACTCTCTCTCTCTAAAATAAATAAATCTTTAAGGAAAAAAAAAAAAGAAAAATTCAGGTTGACATATTTTAAATGGCACTTACCCCAAGTGAAAAGAAGTGGTTTTTTATAGATGATTAACTCTTTGACAAAAAGGTTAGAAGGGCAAAGAAACTTTTTTTTAAAAAGATTTTATTTATTTATTTGAGAGAGAAAGAATGAGACAGAGAGAGCATGAGAGGGAGGAGGGTCAGAGGGAGAAGCAGACTTCCCACCGAGCGGGGAGCCCGATGCGGGACTCTATCCCAGGACTCCAGGATCATGACCTGAGCTGAAGGCAGTCGCTTAACCAACTGAGCCACCCAGGTGCCCGAAGGGCAAAGAAACTTTAGACTAAGTTTTGAGTCAATGCCAACTGAAAAATATAAATAGTAATAGAAACTCTCATAATTCTGAATATTTTATAGTACCTTATGGTTTAAAAATTCTTCCATATATATTGTTTCATTTGAGGGGCAAAACTTTATCAAACTGGCATTATTATCATCCTGATTTTATAAATGAGAAAAATGGGGGTCAGATTATGTGGGAAGACTGAAATCAGGGTGCTAATAAGTGGTAGAACCAGAATTTCTAGTCTTTTTTTTTTTTTTTTTTGCTGGTTATAGTATTTTAATGAAAGCCTACAATAAATTGAGTCATGGAAATGTATCTTTAACTTTTAATTTGCCATATTGTGGAACAAATTTCATAACTGACCCCATCATTGTTAACTATTCAGTAACTTGTATGACCTACATGCTAAGTTGGACATAACAGAATTTAAGGAGCTAGTGAACTAGTCAGTCAATGGGACTAACTGAATGCTTAATGTGCCCTAGGTACACATCTGGGAATGAACAAAGTTGGTATAAGTGAATTAGATTATCATAGAATGTTATGTAATCCTGTGTCCCATAGAGCAAAAGCCTGATTTTTAAGTGAAAAGGCTATAAAATGAAACTCTATAAATATGGTCAAATTTTACCCTCTAATTTCTTCTTTCATGGAGCTCTGGGGTGGGGACTTTAAGAGCTATGCATAATGAGGCATTTGGTTGTTTTCTCCACAATCTGGCTTCACACAAGATTTTAAAGAGGGGAACCGACCGTGTGTGTGTGTAAAGTGGAAACACACACAGGTATAACTCTCTCTTTTCCGTGAAAACCTACCAGAAGCAAGGTCAGAGCATTTGCCTGTCTCTAATCTTCAGTGATTCTATGGAACTTTGTAGCTTTAATAATGTGTTTATAAAAGAGGAGAGCATTTTAATTGGCCTGCTGTACTCTAAGACATAACTTTTAAGGAGCGTTTTCTGGAAGTAGTCTGGAGAGAGATCCTATGAAAAGAGGATGGAGGCCAAAGCAGATGGAGGACTTCTAACCTTTTTGTCAAAGAGTTAATCATCTATAAACAAGTATATCACCCTCATGGACAGAGGCACAAAGCACACAGGCCTGTTAAAGCGTCTGAGAATTCTGGCTACGAAGAAGCCACTTTAGCTGCCTGAATCATGAATCTGGGAACTTTAGGTTAATCCAATACTTGTTAACATCTATAAAACACATTTTAGGAAATTGCTGTTAAGTGGTGAGAGTGATTGTTTTTCCCCTAAATGTCCCATAACTTAAACCTGAGTGCTGTCCTGCAGAATGATTCTCTTGGGAAGCTGTGGGTTTATTTCAATGATGCTGCTTTTGCTGTAAACATATTTAAAACCTCTTTTTGGAAATTCCCTTCAAAGCCTTTTGTAAACCATGTCATTAATCCCAAAATAATTTTGTATGTTATTCTATACTAGTATAATGTAATATTGTGATTACTATATAATGTAGTAATAATTATAATAGCTACCATTTTTTGAGTGCTTATTCTGTGCCAGCCACTTACATACAGTACCTCATAAAAATCCCATGAATTAGATCCTATTGTTATCCCCATATGCCCAGGGTCTAAGGCTACATAAATGTTAACAGTAATGCGGATGTGAACATGAATCCATCTGACTTCAAGCCCTTCTCTTCACCACCCAATTTTAGAGTTATTTGAGTCAAGAGTGAAATTAGCGTGCTTGCTCATTTTCCTGATAGTTTCTATTAAGTTGGCTCTCCTCTTAAGGATATGTAAAGGAAGCCATAAACTCTGAAGGCAATTTCCAAAGAGGAAATGGTTTGAGAAAAGGCAGCATCAGTGGCATTGGTATGGGACTACCCAGGTGATAAATGAGATAATTCTTCATTGGATTTTAAGCTCTAGACTTTTAAGTATTCGAAAAAATAACAGTAGAGAGTACCATGGTATCCTTAGCTCTGAGACAGCCTATAGCTTAGATTTGTCTGTCCTGGACCACCGCCCCAGGTGTAACCCTTTTCTGTCTCTGTCCTTCAGAGGCCGGACACTGTGGACTCCGTGTTGTCTAGCAGAGAGATCTTAGGAAAGCGACCCAACAGTGTGCTTGCATTTCCAAGGTCAGTGCTTTGCTCCACAGTTTCCTCCAGGTACAGCAATTCTTGATGATTTACTAATGTGATTGGGCCGTGTTTCTCACCTCTTCTAGCTCATGCTCCTTTTAGAGTTCTCACTCTCTCTCTCTCAGTGCTCCAGCAAAGAAGAATTTAATGCATACTTTCCATAGTTGAGATAGAAAACAATGGGCAGTTAGACTATTCCTTTTTTATTTTATTTTTTTCTGATGATTCAACGATTCTAAACATCACTTGGTGCTCATCCTGATAACTGTACTCTTAATCCCCTTTATCTAACCATCCCCCCACCCACCTCCCCTCTGGAAACCACTAGTTTATTCTCTGTATTTAAGAGTCTGCTTTTTTGTTTGTCTCTTATTTTCTTTGTTTGTTTGTGGAACTCATAAGTTCCACATATGAGTGAAATGATATGGTATTTGTCTTTCTCTGTCTGACTTATTTTACTTAGCATTGTACCTTCTAGGTCCATCTAGACTATTCATTTTTTAAACTACTCTTAGTTCCCTGGAAATTCTGATACTACCTCCCATCAACTTTAGTCTCTGCAATATTAGTGCACTTCTTCTCATCTGCTAAGTTTTCTTCTACCTTCTATCACTTCTCTGACCTAGCTTCCTCTTTCTGCAGTCTAGCCCACCTCCTGTCTAAGCTCTGGTTTTTACCTCTCAAGAAGTTAGAGAGACAGGTGGAATAAAGGAACAACTTTATCTCAAGAGTGCCATGGGCGTTACTGGTGTCTGCTGCTAACAATGATTATAATAATGATAATGATAATAATAATATAATAATAATAGAACACTTACTACTGTAGATGTCAGATACTGTTAAGCACTTTCTCAATATTATTGTACTTAATTTTCACTACAACTATTTGAGATATGTATTATAATTTTATCCATTTTATAGAGGTCCAAAATTAATTATAATTTTAATTCTTTTTTTCCTTTTAACAAGTCAAACAACATGATACTGTATTAAGAGCACTGGAATAGGAGTCAAGATATTGGGTTTTATTTTCAGTGAGTGGCTATCACTCACTCATCGTATGCCCTTAATCATGTTCTTAATCTTAATTACTGTGCCTTTAACTACTATGCATTTCAGGTGGAGGAAGTTTGGGGAATACAACCAGCTTCCCAGAGTGTTATTTTCTCATGGTTTTTGAGTGTGGACATCCTCTTGTGTTCATCGGATTGTTGATGGAAGGACTGTATGACATATACCTCAGCAAAATCAGTGTGAGGACCAGAATAAGCATTAGAGATTAGTCCAACCCCTTCATCTTGTAGATGAAATGGCCAAACAACTGACTGGCCAAGTCAGAAATAAAACTATGGCTCCTCACTGCTCCACTGTTCTTTCCCTCGCACCACGTTGCCTTACTCATTAAAAAGAAATAAATGGATTCAAATAATTTTATTTTGATTGTATTTTGAAGGCAAATTTGGCTGCCCTGCTAGGACATATTTTGGCTTCAGCACTTCAGGAGGGAAATAACTGCAGTGAATCAAGACCAGAGATTGACAGGCTTTCCTGTCAATGAGAGAGTCTAGACATGGACATGAGGACTCAAATAGTCAAAACAGTTATAGATGCTTTATTTATGTGAAGTTTGGCCCCTGAATTCACTGGAAGTACCACTTCTCCCCCATTTTCCTCTCTCCTGCTTGTAACTCTAACCCAGCACTCCATACTTGAGACCACAGAAAATCTACAATTACACACACCAACTGAACAAACCCATTCCCCCATTGTGCCTTTGTAAGTCCCTCACTTTTGCCTGGGGAAGGGATGGGGATGTGGGGAGGAGAAAGAGGAGAGGAATGGTTATTTCCAGATATACTCTGCCTACCAGGCTATGAATCTTTGCCTTCAAGCCATCCAACAGCCACCTTTCACTGTATTACTCCTAATGGCATCTGGTTATAGAACTAGAAAAGACAGACAAATTCAAACTGAAACCAAACCCAAAAGCTTAAATCCCACAAGTTATCTGTATAAGAGCTGCTTTTGAGTCCCCAGTATTGAGGGGGAAAGTCTTGATCAGCTCTCAGACTTAGTCTCAAAGAGAGCCTTAGCAAATCAAAGCACTTGCCCACTTGAGGGAAATGGGCTTACTTCAGAATCAGAGAGCTAGTTGGGTTGCTTCTCAGGATTGAAAGTTCACATGGTCACCTATTCAGGTACAGTGCAGTAAACATCTTGCCTTATTTCTAGGATTGAGCTCAAGGAGATGGAGAACAAACCACCTATGGAGACCATTGTAGAAGAAGGTACAAAGAATAGACAAAAGAAGTACAAATTAAAAGACCAGCCAGACAAAGAAGAAGGCATCAGAGGTAGGTCAATGACTCTGGGTATCATCTGTCATGCTTTACTGCTTAAGAGTCCAGCCATATTGCTTAGTGACTTCTATGCCCCAAATAAAGTTAGATTCATGAATAATCACTGTATTATTCTTTCTAACAAATATCTTCTTTTTTTAGATCATGGTTTTTAAAGTTATTTATTTTTAATATATAAATCCTATAATCTCTTTCATAAACATTCATCGAGGAAAAACTACCTATGTTAATATAATTCCTAAAAAGTTATATTTCTTTATTCTAAAAATATATGAAAGTTCTAAAACAACATTACTAAAAAAATTACATAAGTATAATTGTACAAGGTAGCACATATGGTAAACATTTAAATATTTCTTAATCCAAAAGAAAGTAAATAATTATAGAATATCTGCTAAATACTATGACCATGCTGATATTTTATATATGTTAATTAAATCTCATAAGGCTCAGGATTTTTTCAAGTAGCAATTTTTTTTTTATGGTAGCCAAACAGGGTTTATTTTAGCAATGTAGAGATCATTTGGCATTAGGAAATGTATTAAAATTATACAGTTCATCAATAAGAAAAGTAAATCACCCAAATCTAGATTCTGAAAAGCATTTGCTAGAATTCCACATCTGTTTCTGTTTTTTTTTTAACCTTTAAAATTGTAGGAAGAGTAGGATAATCTCTTTTTAAATATTACTGTTATTATTTTATTTTTATTATTAACATATAATGTATTATTTGTTTCAGGGGTACAGGTCTGTGATTCATTAGTCTTACACAATACACAGCGCTCACCACAACACATACCCTCCCCACTGTCCATTACTCAGCCACCCCATCTCTCCCATCCCCCTCCACAACATCTAACAAATATCTTCTATTTCTGGAATCTTATATCTCATCTTGACCACTTTCTGACTCTCAGGCTTTTAGACTATGATCTCTCTGCTGGCTCCCCATTACTTAAAGAGGCCAAAATTCAGATGCCTATGGGGTCCAGGCAGATAATGTAAATGCATGAAGGGGGTTCTATAGGGCAATATGTTAGCATAGATAATAATTTTTATGAAAAATGGAGAATGGTAATTTTACATCTTTGATATTTGGCTTAATAGAAGATAGTTGGATTTTTATGTCTGTCTTTACTTAATCTGTTATGATGTGCTGACTTGGTTGAAGCGCATGATGAAAGTCCTAGGACTTCAAAGACTTTTTGAAAGGGTCCTAGAAATCCTTAGGAGTTTCCATTCTACCCTCTGAAGACTTCCTCTGAGGGACTGTTGCTTTGTGGGCAACACACTAATTGACAGTGAAGCAAAAAATGCTGATTGGGCCAAACAAAACATATCAGTGGGTAAACACTGGTTTGTGGATATTAGTTTTGCAACATGAGGTCTACACAACTACATATAAACTTTTAGCCTAATATTCACATGCTTTTGTGTTTTTAGCCTCATCTGTCACTATAGACTCCTTCTCTGAGCAAAACTGTTCATATTATTCTAACATGTCTTGCCCTTTCCTGCCTTCATGCTTTTGTTCTCTTTTTCTCCTGCCTACAATGTCCTTCCTTTTCTTACAGTCTCTCCCAATCCTACTCACTTCTCAGCATTGTTTTTACATCTCACTTCCTCCATGAACACTTCTCTCATCACTGGAATCTGAAGTGTCTTCTTTCTTCTCTGAACATGGCAGACCCTTAAAGATGGCACCATCATTTGGGATATAGACATTTTTCATCATTGTCCTGAGTTGCTATTTATGCAGTGTATGTAAAGCACTTAGCATGGTTGACATGTAATAAGACCTCCACAAATGAGAGCTCTCATGTTTTTTCTTTATATCTTATTTTTCTATCCAGCTATAGATCTTCCCCAGTTTAATGAGGTGGTTATGTCCAGATTAACCCATTATAAGTTGAAACTATCATATTAATACACATAACCTACTGAATAGTATAGCTAGCCTATCTTAAATGTGCCATCTAGCCTACAGTTGGGCAAAATCACCCAACACAAAGCCTATTTTATAAAGTATTGAATATCTCATGTAATTTATTGACCACTGAAAGTGAAAAACAGACTGGTTGTCTGGGTACAGAATAGTTGTAAATGCATTGCTTGTTTACTCTTGTGATCGTGTGGCTGACTAGCAGCTGCAGCTTGCTGTGTTGCCCAGCATCCCAAGGGAGTATTGTGCCACATATCACTAGTCTGGGAAAAAATCACAGTTCAAAATTCAAAGTACAGTTTCTATTGGATGCATATCACTTTTGCACCAACATAAAGTCAAAAAAATCATAACTCAAACCCCATCGTTAAGGGAACTGTCTGTATATCTATTGAAAGATCCTTAATGGCAAAGACTTGCCTCTTTGCATTTTCTAAAGTGACCAGCCAGTGCTTTGCATGTAAGAAGTACACAGCAAAAATAATTGTTTTAACTACACTAGGGCAAGGGACAATAATTTAAGATGTTTCTTATATAAAAATTTTTCCTGGTAAAATAATGAGTTTTAAAAATCAGTTAAGTATAAAACCACCCATTTAAAGTTGGAAGAAAACTTGGTTTCATTCATTCTACAGAGATCTTATCACCTAAGAGACTTCGAGATAAACAAGCTATCTCCTCTCCCAAAATGACAAGCATCAACTTGCTGAGTAAGTTAGAGCAGAATGGGAGTAGCTGGAAGATTATGAACCCTGAAAGGTAATGAATTGGTATTTTATCTGTTGTATGTTACTAAATGTATTTTTGAGTTATATCTTGATGCAGGGAATTTAAATGAGTGTCCATTCATTTCTTCTTCCGGTAGTCTTGATTACATTCTACCTGTTAGGTGATTGGGATAATAAATTCAGTCAGGGCTCACAATCTAGTGGGAAAGCCAGATATACATAGAGTGATGAACCATGATTCAGTAGGATACATGCTATGACAGAGGTGCAAACAAAATAGCACAGAGAAGGGAACATCTAAATCTCTGTGGTTTTGGGAAAACTTCCCTTGTTGTTTTCTCTTTCCTTTTCTTTTTTTTTTTAAAGATTTTATTTATTTATTTGTCAGAGTGGGAGAGCAAGAGAGAGAGAACACGAGAGAGTGCACAAGCCGGGGGAGAAGAGGGAGAGGGAGAAGCAGACTCCCCACTGAGCAAGGATGTAGGGCTCCATCCCAGGACCCTGGGATCATGGCCTGAGCTGAACGCAGACACTTAACCGACTGAGCCACCCAGGCAACCCCCTTCTTGTTTTCTGAGATCCCCTTTGTTGTTTTCTGAGATCCCCCTTGTTGTTTTTTGAGTGCTTGGATATTACAATATGACACAGTTTCATATTTAGATCAAATTAGCTTTGCTAAACATGGTTGGCACTTAATAAATGTTCTTTGAATGAATGGATATATTACACGTCATGGCCATGTCTTCTAACAATGTTGTGTCAAAAGATTTCTGTTTTCTTTTTTTCTCTTTGAGTAGGACACTTTTTAAGACCTCCAATCAGTCAACTGTATGCAAGTATTTATTGAGCATCTACTATGTACTTTGCACTGTGCTATCAACTTTGAATTTATTAATGTGTCACAATGTACCAGCTATCATATGTGTGATTTATGCACTTTCTGGGATACTAAGGTCATGTTCAAAACCCTAGGCACACTTGTTTTAAGTAATCTCACCATTATGAAAGAGAATTGAGAATTGAATGTCTTGTTCTTTGGAATTTAGTTTAGTCCGACAGACACTGAGCACCACTGCGTGTCCAGCATTATTCTAGACACTGAAGATACAGAACTCTACAACGTATAAAAGACATATAAACTTGCTTTCAAACAAGAGTCTTTTAGGGAGACTGATGCTAAAGAAGTAACACACATGACAAAGACAAAAGAAAGTACAGAAACTGCAAAGAGGAGGGAGTAATTAATTGTTAGGGATTATTAGTGAAGGCTTCCTATTGGTATGGACCAAAAAATGGTTTTTGTGCTGATTACTAAAGTAATACATGTTTATCACAGAAATTTTTTAAAAATGAGAAAAGCAAGAGATCAAAAAAATCAGTCATAACCCCATAGAGGAAACTTTCTGCTAACATTATGGTGTATATTCTTCGGTTTCATGCATATACAATATATACATGTACTTATATTTGAAACCTATACACACATTTTAAGTACAGCTGAGATCATATCATATGAAGCTTTGTTATACTCAACAATAAGTGGTAAATATTTTCCCATGGCTTTAAACATCTCAGGACATAAATAACTGCACATCATTTCATGAATTTAACTTTTTGTCTGACCAATCTGCTTGTGTATATTTAGATGATTTTTAGTTTTTTAAATATTATAAATGATACTGTTATACTGATACACATAAGTCTCTGCACACATTTGAATATTCTATAGGATAAAAACTTTAATGTAAAATTTTCAAGATAAGAGATGAGCCCATTTTTCATGTCTTTGATATATGTTACCAATTATTCTCAGGAAGGTTGTATCCAATTATCTTCCCAGTAGCAGGGATGTGAGGGAGTGCTATCTTCTCCAGAGTTTTGTTAATACTGGACATTGTACCCTCCGATGGATTCCCACTCTTATCCAGGGTAAAAGCCAAAATCCTTGCCATGGCCTTCAAGATCCTGCCTGATCTCTGATCTCTCTCCTGCTTTTTGTCCACGATCTCATCTCCCTCTGGCCACACTGAGCACAGGCACACTCCCACATCAAGGACTTTGCACTCATTCACTCTGCCGGGAATACTTTTCCCATCAGATAATCTGATTATTATTTCTCCCTCACCTTATTCAAATGTCACCTTCTTGGTGGAACTTTCCTGGGCATTCTGCTTATGGTTTAATACTCCATCCCTCCAGCACTGTAAGGCATTTATCACCATCACACATACTACTGAATTCATTCATTTATCTTGTTTATTAACTGGCTGTCAGATCCTATCAGAATGTTAATTTCATTAGGACCAGGATTTCTTTTTCTTTCTTTCTTTCTTTCTTTCTTTCTTTTTAAAGATTTTATTTATTTATTTGATAGAGAGAGACACAGCGAGAGAGGGAACACAAGCAGGGGGAGTGGAAGAGGGAGAGCAGGCTTCCCGCCGAGCAGGGAGCCTGATGCGGGGCTCGATCCCAGGATCCTGGGATCATGACCTGAGCCGAAGGCAGACGCTTAATGACTGAGCCACCCAGGCGCCCCAATTTCTTTCTTTTTTTGTATGTTTTGTTCTTCACTGCATCTCCCATGCCTAAAACAGTGCATGTAGTAAGCACAAAACATTTTATAGAATGAATAAATTTTATCCCAGTTTCACAGAATTGGTAACTGAGACTTTGCAAGATGACCCAGCTTGCCTAATGGCAGTCAGCTTGTAAGCAAAAAAGCTGGATTTCAAACCCAAGTTTATTTGATACGAAGCATCGTTCTTAACCTCTATACATATAGATTCTCTGGAAAGAAAAAAAAAATACCACTAAGATTTTTCTTTCTCTTATATTTATACCTGTCTGTAAAATTATCATTGCTCATGTCAGACTGTTTAAACATTAATTAATGTTGCACTGTTTTTATAGCTTATCATCTCCAGGTTGTTTGAAAAATGACAGTGAAATGAAGCCTAAACTTTCTCCAGTCCCCACTTGCCAGGATCATAATAAGGCAGGACAGGTACAGTGTCTTCAAACAAACAAAATCCAATCAGAATCTTCCTCTGACTTCTGTTTCTCAATGAGAGTTATGGGAATTGCTCTTTTTTCATTGTATAGATATGGCTTATGTACTCAGGACCCAAAATTGGACTGTGATAAATCTATCTACTAGTCAAAATCTGCTAGGGTTAACAGAAGTAGGGTTGGGATATCTTTCTAATTTTCAGTTGCTACAAATACTTCTGATCAAATGAGAATTCAGCAAATCCTCTTGAATATTTGTGGGGCCCACTCTACAAATCTCATTTTGCTAATTGTCATTAATACATCCTTCTATAAAGTATATTGCTTGACATACTCAATCTTTGGAGAGCTTGTGAAGGGATTGTGAAGGAAAAAAGTAAAAGGCAATAATTTGTCTTCAAACCTGGTGTTGTAGGAAATGTGTTATGTGTGTTTGCAACGAGCACAGCGCAATTCCCCATTGTACTACAGTGAGGAGAGGAAGAGGAGAGAGATAGAAGATGAGCAACTCATTCAGCAGTATGAAATCCTGAAGGATCAAGAGGCTCTCTTAAAACACCAGGTAGTTCAATACCTCGATTAAAGAGTGCTTAACATGGGACAGTAGAACATGATTATAAAGTGCCATTTAAAATGCTCCATTAGGCACCTGGGTGGCTCAGTTGATTGAGTGTCTGACTCTTGATTTCAGCTCAGGTCTTGATCTCAGCATTGTGAATTCAAGCCCCATATTGGGCTCCAAGCTGGGCATGGAGCCTACTTAAAAACAAACAAATGAACAAACAAACAAACAAATAAAAAAACCCTTAAATATGTCTGTACTGTAACATATTTAATCATTTACTTACTGCTGGATTAAAACTTAGGTTGTATCCAGTTTTCACTAATAATGAGCAACACTGGGATGAACATCCAAGCAGCTGAATGTTTGCACCTGTCGCTGATTTCTCCCTCTCCCCCACCCCCAAGGATTGTATTTTAAAGGTAGAATTCCTGGATTTATGTGGTTTTATTTGTGCTTTCTAATAAGATATAATCAAAAAAAAAATCAAAAAAAAAAAAAGATATAATCAAGGCTTTCCCTTTAAATTCATGACCTATCTAAGCAAGCAAAGAGAGAATGGTATGTTCACATTTGCTCTATCCAGATTTCTGTGGTCTCCAATAATTGACTCCACTGCTCTTTCTTGCGTTTGTGATATCGGGTAACTACTTATGAAATCTTCCATTGCCTCTTACGATTCCCATAGAGGTGCTGCCTAAAGCTCCAAAACAGGAAATAAAAAAACCTTCCCCAACCCACTTTTATAAATCTATGAAGACATCAGAGAGTACCATTGCCTCCAAAAGGCAAGTCTCTACCTTGGTTGGATTATTATAATGTAATAGAATTAAAATTTTAAAGGCTCTATGTCAATATGTGATTTTTTTTTCAAAGATGAGAAGTCTGGCTAATAGAGAACAAAATCAGAAAAATGCTGCCTACAATCTTGGAGTTGCTGAAGCTATAAGAATCCACAAGAATGAGAAACCTGAATTTTATGTGAGTCTTTCCAAAATTTCTATTGCCAATACCTGCCCCATCTGTGAATATATGGATCCATTCTCTGTACTGCAGGCTGTGCCATTGTTTAAGAGGTGAAATGTGGGTTGTATAAGGTTGAAGCCTTGTTCTGGGTCAGGAGTTGTCCAGCATCTGTGTCCAAAGTCTTCACATTTACAATACAATCCCTATTAGATACTATGGCACTTGTTAATGATAGTAACTCTCAGCCAGGTCCTGGGGTGGGTGGTGGGGGGCAGTGTACTAAAGTAATGCCCCAGGAACCACAGATCTGCAGAGCCATCATTACCTGGGAACTTGCTGGAAAGGCAGAATCTAGGGCCCCATCCCTCCAGAGTGGGAATCTACATTTGAGTAAGATCCTCCTGAGATTTGTAGGTGCACTGAAGTTTGAACAGCCCAGCTGCTTAGATAGAGGTGAGCCATCTGCTTCACCACGGATTTAATGTTTTCAGTCACTGTGTGCCTACCTTTAATTTGTCTGAACCTTTCTCCCTTCACACCACTATCTAGGTGGTCTGACACTCTGGACATAACTCTAATAAAATACACTTTCTTTCTTTATCACCAAACATCTATTGAAATCCTATGTGCTGGCCACCGTGTTCGTGGCTAGGAATACAAAGATGAATAAGGCAAGGTCCCTCTTGAAAGAAGTCTTAGGCTACTGGAGGAGACAGGTTTAAAATCCTGAGTGTGGTATAATGAATGTTATGATAAATCTTTGAAGAGGGCAGTGTCTGAGCAAAGAGTCACTTGACCAGACCAGAGATCTGGGGAGACTTCCTTGTATACACCAGTTAGGTAAAGGAGGGAATGGAAGGAGAACCTTCCAGGCAAGGGTGTCAGGGAGGGAGGGAGGAGACATGATACTTTTGAGATTTAGGCCTGATTCTTTTCTCTTCTTACATAAAAGTTCCAGACTATGTTTATTACTGCCTACTTTGTGTATCCTCTTTGATATATCTGCAGATATCTTAAAAAGACCAAAACAGAACTTTTGATCCCTCTCCTCACCTGTTCTTCTCTTAGCCTCCCCATTTCAGTAAGTGGCATCACCAGGCAGACAGTTGCACAAACCCAAACCAAGGAGTGATCCCAGATTGCTCCTCCTCTGTCTCCCCCATCCAACCATCCTCAAGCACAGTTGCCTTTACCGCCCAAATGTACCCAATCTTTTCACATCCCTTCATCTTCAATGCTACCACCCTAGAACAAACCATATCATAAAGCTCAGCTTCTGAAATACTTCCCTAATTAGGTTTGCTGCTTGCCTTCTTCCCCTTTACAGTCTATTCTCCACATCGCAGTCAAGTGATCTTTTAAAACTTAACCCAAACATATCATTCTCCTGTTTAACTGACTGAGCCACCCAGGTGCCCTATCATTCTCCTGTTTAAAACCTGTAATGGGGGGCGCCTGAGTTGCTTAGTCGTTAAGTGTCTGCCTTCGGCTCAGCTCATGATCCCAGGGTCCTGGGATCGAGCCCTGCATCGGGCTCCCTGCTCGGCGGGGAGCCTGCTTCTCCCTCACACTCCCCCTGCTTGTGTTCCCTCTCTTGCTGTCTCTCTCTCTCTCTGTCAAATAAATAAATAAAATCTTAAAAAAAAAAAAAACTAAAACCTCTAGTGGTCTCCCACTGAGTTAAAATAAAATCTAAACTCTTATCTTGACCTATGAGGTCTATATGGCCCTGCCTTCCTCTTTGAGCTTACCTGCTACTTTCCCCTTGCTCATTGTGCTTCAGCCATGTAGACCTTCTTTCTGCTCATTAAACATGCCTAACTTGTTTTCATTTAGTGCCTCTGCACTTTCTGTTCCTTCTGTACGGGACACAGATTACCTGATACTTGCAGTGGAGGTGATTCAGTCAACTTTACTGAAAAGCCTTCCCTAATAACCAACCACTTTAGCTCTGTTCCCACCCATTTGCTATGATAAAGACTTCATAGCACTTGATCACTACCTTAAATTATCTGATGTATGTTCACTTGTTCCCTGTCTCCTGTACCAGAAGGCAGGCTCCATGAACCAGGCTCTCTGCAGATCTCTGTCTGTGTCTAGAATGGCCAGGCCCAGAGTGGGTATTCAGTTCTCCCTCTTCCCACATCTGCTCAGTCCTTGCTCATGCTTTTGCACTCACTTAGAACTCCTTCCTTCCATCTGTGTGTGGTGCTAGCTCAGGACCTCCTCCATGACATTCTTTTTCATCTTTCTCTTAGATATGGGGTTTTGTCTGTTCTGCTCAGATTCATCCTTGAGCACACTCCCATTATTCCGTGGGTTGTCTCAACACTAGCTGGTCAGTGTGTTGAGGACTGGGCAAATACTATAAATTAATAATTGATTTTAGTGTTCTGAATTACCACTTTTATTCTTTGTTCTTTTTGGTATTTTAAAGTAAAATGCATTGCTTCTTCTTCCTTCCAGAAATCTTTCCTGTTTGATAAACGGCCACTCAGTCCTGAGATTAATGCTTTTAAACAAGAAGAATATTCCCAAAGTCTCCTGAAACAAATGGATAACAGACGGGAAAAGGAAATAAAGCAAAGACAAAACAGAGAGTTGATGGACCGCCTAGAACAAGTGCAACTCACAGAGGAGTGAGTCTAGCTGACAGGCCCTGAAAAATGGGTTCAGAATTTTCATGTGAAGCTTATTTCCATGTGGGATTGATTAGCACAGCTGTAACCAACTGAGCAAACCAACCCAGCTAGCCACCAGTACCACAGCATGACATTTCATTAGAAAAATGAAAAAGCTGTTATTATTATGACCGTTAGAGTAATGATTAGCAATCTATAATTAATGATAGAGTATCACTTTGTATTGTTTTGTGATCACTAATACTGGCAGATGGAGGAAGGGACTTGTCTTGAATAAGCAGCATTCTCAGCTATTCCCAGTTGATCTCAAAGCAAAGCTGGGGTTTTGTTGTAAGTAGGGGTGTCCCACGGAAGCCAGGGGCAGGAGTGTATGGGGGACAAAGAGGACTAGAACCAGGGACTAAAAAGTCATGTAAGAAATGCTTTCCTTCTGCTCACACCCACAGCTCCTTGGTTGACATCATTTTTTTTCCAGCTCAAACTTGGATGAATGTTAGTCTCAATTACAAATTTTCAAGAATGAGAATCTGATTGGTCTTGCTTGGGTTGTCTGAGGCCTGGGATAGGGTCAGAGTTCAAACATGCCTAAGGGGGTCACACTTCTACTATTGAGGTCAGGAGAGCAATTAAAGAGGCTACTGTAGTGGGAGAGAGACTCCTAAAACAAATAGTAAGCTAGTTTTTGTGACCAAAAGATTATTTTTCTATAAAATATATATGTTCCATTATACTTGCTTTATGGATCATGTGGGTTTCCTGTGGGTTGCAAATAGCAGAATCATAATTTATAATAGGAAAGATCACTTTTCTTAAAAAGGAATCTTATGGTGAATCATTTTATAGAATGAATAGACATTTCCTGCTTTCCTGTCTAGATTTTTTTTTTTTAAAACACGAGGGGTGGAGGAGTACCTGTTTTAGTTGTAGTGAATTTGGACAAAATGGTCAATCCCTTGCTCACATCTGTCCTGTCTGTCCTGTATTCAACACATTGTCCACTAGCCTATGGATCTGTTACTCCTTTCTTCATTTCTTTGCTCCTTCCTTTAAAATGAAAGCTCTAGAAGGAAGTATCACTTTTTATTTACCAGTATCTCACTCCTATTGATGCTTAGGAAATAGGTTTTAGTGATGTTATAGTCTCTATTACCAGAGACAGTAACATACTGTGCCCCCCCTTCTCTTATTCTTAACTGCCAGACTTGCTGCACAAAGAGCCCAGTATATAAAAGATAAGATGGAAGAAACACAGTGTTATAAGAGAGCTTTGGATGCGCAGGTAAGTGCATTTTTTTATTTTTAAAATTATGCAGTGCTTCATTAGCATTCTAAAAATATGTATAAGAACTGTCATGAGTAGCCTTATGTGTTACCCATTTGGCGGTTTGGGGGCCCTGTTCTTTCCTCGAAGGGATTGGTGTTTTACTGTGCTGCGGTGTCGTGCGTACTTTTTTGCCTGCTAGAATTCTGGTCTGCACGATGTGTGTCCCTGTTTCAGATGAAGAACAAACCCCTGCAACTGCCCATGTTTGAGCCAGACTCTTGTGAGCCCATCTTTGGTAAGGATGAGGGTGAGCTGATGGTGGAAAAGCACAAGCGAGAACAGAATTACATGAAGCACCAGCTGGAGGCCGCTGCCAGACACAAGAGGAGAACCATCCTGCAGCAGCTGGTGGAACAGAAGCGGGACTTGCAGATGCTTCGGAGGACACAAAAAGAGTAAGAGACCCCAGATCTTTCTTCCTCCTCCTCCTCTCCTCCTCTCTTGCTCCCCTCTCCAACTTCCCATTTTCTCTCTTTCTCCTACAACAGCACAGAAGCAATAATAATAGTGAGCACAGTGAGGAGTAACTGTGTGCAAAATATTGTTCTAAGCTTACCAAATCCTTCATCTTATTTTGTCCTTACAGTTCACCCTATGAAGAAAAGTTATTGATTAAAAAAAAACCCCAACCAACCAGACCTGATCCTACCTCTCCCTCCAGTTACCTCTCCATATTTTTCCTTCCCTTTACAGTACAACTTCTTAAAGAGGTGTCCAGATCCATACTATCCATTGGAAATACAGTGTGAGCCACAACTGTGGTGAGCCACAAGCCAGGGTGGGGGGGAGTGGGGAGGCAGAGGGAGAAGGAGAAGCAGGCTTCCCACTGAGCAGGGAGTCCGATGCAGGGCTCGAACCCAGGACCCTGGGATCATGACCTGAACTGAAGGCAGACACTTAACTGGCTGAGTCACCCAGGTGCCCCTCAATAGACACCGACATGAAACTTGAGCTCCTTCTCAACTTCCAATAAGCCCCCTTCCTTCAAAGAACTGTTAATGTAGTGAGCGGTACTTATCATGGCCGGCAAGGGGGTGGTGAAGGTGGCAGGGTGCAGGGCAGGACTGGATGCTATATCAGTGCAAATATCTTTAAATTCAAACACCAGACACCCAGTTTCTTTCTTTCTTTTTGATTTGATGAGTTTATACATTATACTATGTTCACCACAAGTGTAGCGACCATCTGTCCTGTTACATTGCTCTTACGGTATCATTGACCGTATTCCTTATGCTGTGCCTTATTGCCATGACTTATTCGTTCCATAACTGGAAGCCTATATGTCCCACTCCCCTTCACCCATTTTCCCTGACCCTCCATGCCCCTCCCTTCTGGCAACCTTTCAGTTTGTTCTCTGTTGATTCTGCTTTTTGTTTATTTGGTTTTTTTAAGATTCATGTGGTATTTGTCTTTCTCAATCTCACTTATTATTTCACTTAGCATAAAACCGTTTAGGTCCATCCATGTCTCAAATGACATGCTTTTGTCCTTTTTTATGGCACTGTAATATTCCATGGTGTGCATGCATGTGCGTGTGTGTGTGTGTATATGTTTGTGTGTATGTATATATACATATGGATATATATATACTACGTTTTTCTTATCCATTTGTCTATTGATAGATACTTAGATTGCTTCCATATCTTGGCTATTGTAAACAGTGCTGCAATAAATGTAGCAGTGCAGATATCTTTTTGAATTAGTGTTTTCATTTTCTTTGGGTAAATACCCAAAGGTAGAATTATTGGATCATATGGTAGTTCTATTTTTAATTTTTCGAGGAACCTCCATACTTTTTCCATAGTGGCTGCACAAATTTCCATTCTTACCTACACTGCACAAAGTGTTCCTTTTTATCCACATCCTCGCCAACACTTGTTTCTTGTCATTTTGATTTTAGTCATTCTAACTGGTGTAAAGTGATATCTCATTGTGGTTTGATTTTCATTTCTCTGATGATGAGTGATGTTAAACTCTGTCATTCCCAAGCTGTATGACCTGAGCCAAAACACACGTGGGGTCTTTGAGCCCTCATTTCCTCACATGAAAAGTAAGGATAACATACCCCCTTACCTATCCTTACTCTGAGAAGGATGTGAGAGTATGTATTTGAGAATACTTTTGGAAATTGCAGAGCTCTGAACAAATACGAACTGTGGTCTTGGTTATCTCTCTTGTTGAGCTCTGGTCACAGACCCCCCCTTTTCTGTATGGGTCAGATCCTTCTCTTCCATTTCTATATCCTTTCCTACTTATTCCAGATTCTCTTACTTATCTTCTCTCTCTTTTTTAAAAAAGATTTTATTTATTTGACAGAGAGATAGAGAGAGCCAGAGAGCACAAGTGGGGGGTGTTGGGAAGCAGAGGCAGAGGGAGAAGGAGAAGCAGGCTTCCTGCTAAGCAAAGAGCCCAATGTAGGGCTCCATCCCAGGATCCTGGGATCATGACCTAAGCCGAAGGCAGATGCTTAATGTGCTGAGCCACCCAGGCGCCCCTCTTACTGATCTTCTCTTTTCCAACTTCCCCGTCTCTAGTCCATCTCAAGATGTCATCTTAGGTCCTCCTGTGGCAAGTAGAGGGTCACTTTCAGAGGGGATAATTGGGTCAGTGTGATCTAAACAGGCCTGATAAAGTATTCTTTTTCTTTAAATTTTTCTGCTTTTGTTTATAAAAAATAGAACAATTCATGTTCATTGAAATAAGTCAATTGGTGGAGACATTAAAAAAAGGTTAATAATCTCCCCCAGCCTTCTATATTTTTTCCCACTTTTTACAAATATATTCAAACAATATCCACATATATATTTTCCTTCTACTTTTGTAAATGAAAATAAGACCTATGAGATCGTATACATTACTCTGCAGCCCAGTCTTTCTTTAACCTAATAATGCATCATTAATTTATATTTAGGTCAGTACATAGAAACAAAATTCATTCTTTAATGACAGCATAATATCTACAACATAGATTACTATAATTTAACTTTTGCACTATTGATAAAGATTCACTCTGTTTCCAGATGGTTTGCTATTACAACGATTTTTGCATTAAACATTTTTAATATATATCTTTATACTGGTTCTTTTGTTTCTGTTGGATAAAATCCTAAAAGTGGAGCTGCTGGATCAAGCGTATGACACATTTTAAATATTACCAGATACCAGCAGGTTGCTTCCTAAAAATGTATGGCAATTTGCTTCCACCAGCAGTCGTGTGAGAATCCTTGTGGTCTCCCCCGTAGCCCCAGTTCATTTTCTCACTTGCTTGGCATCTAAATTAAACTGACTTATAAAACTCCCCTTTTACAAAGAATACAACAGTAGCCAAAAAGCATTTGAAAAGGTGCTCAACATTACTAAGCATTAGGGAAATGCACATCAAAACCAGAGTGAGGGGGTGCCTGGGTGGCTCAGTTGTTGGGCATCTGCCTTTGGCTCAGGTCATGATCCCAGGGTCCTGGGATCGAGCCCCACATCTGGCTCCCTGCTCTGCGGGAAGCCTGCTTCTCCCTCTCCCTCTGCCCCTGCTTGTGTTCCCTCTCTCGCTGTGTCTCTCTCTCTGTCAAATAAATAAATAAAATCTTAAAAAAAAAAAAAAAAAAAACCAAACCAGAGTGAGGTAGCTCCAGGCTAACAAATGGCCTCCATACTCTGCAACGTGCTGTTTGGAATAGACGCCATTTAGCATTTAACTAGATTTTGTCTCTTCCAGGCAAGAAGTAGTTCATGTTTTATTTAATTTTGCTTATCTGAACCTAAGAGACAGGGATTCTCCACTCCAGTGAATAAAGGTAGCCAAGTAGGATGGCGAGATTGCAAATGTCTCTGTGGTTTATATCACACAATTTAATAACTTAACTCTAATCACATATCTATCCTGGAATGCCAAGTCTATGGCAGTCTGAATGAAGTAAGCAGTTAGCAAACTGTTCACTCTTCCCCCTGCAACTCATTTATATAGATGTAGGAAAACATCTTTTACTGTTTGAAATGTATATATCACTGTAACATAGACAGTTAAGATGGCTATCTTTTCTTCCCCATAGGGTTTTATGAAAAGAAAACATATGTTTGAGGAACAGTGCCATAAGGTTTCACAAGTGCAAAGATAAAATGTGCTCTCATTTATCTTGTATTATAATATCTGTGCAATGTCCAAATCAAGAATAATTAAAGATTTTTCTTATACCACATGTGCCATGAAACATTTAATAAGTACTTCTTTTAGACTATTCAAAAAATTAGAAAGGAAGAAAACCGTCTATTCACTGGTAGACAAAACCATTAAGATGCAATTATGTTGTAAAAGGGAAAGAGAAAGAAAAGCAAAAACAAAAAAAAAAAGAAGAAAAGAAAAAAGAGAGAAAGATACTACCTCATACCAGTTAGGATGGCTACTATCAAAAAACCAGAAAATAATAGGTGTTGGTGAGGATGTAGAGAAATAAAAATCCTGTGCACTGTTGGTAGGAATGTAAAATAGTGCGGCCACTGTGGAAAACAACATGGCAATTCATCAAAAAATTAAAAATAGAATTACCATATGATTCACTAATTCCACTTCTATGTATATATCCAAAAGATTTGAAAGCAGGATCTTTTTTTTTTTTAACTAAAAAGTTCTTACTTTATTTTATTTTATTGTCATTTCAGTGTAGTTAACATACAGTATTATATTAGTTTCAGGTGTACAATGTAGTGATTCAAGATTCTATGCATTACTCAGTGCTTATCAAGATACCCTTTACCTATTTCACTCATCCCCCACCTCCCTCCCTCTGGTAACCATCTGTTTGTTCTCTGTAGCTAAGAGTCTATTCTTAGTTTATTTTGGTTTGTCTTTTTTCCCCTCTTTGTTCATTTGTTTTGTTTCTTAAATTCCACATACGACTGAAATCATCTGGTATTTGTCTTTCTCTGACTGGCTTATTTTGCTTAGCATTATACTCTCTAGCTCCATCCATGTTGTTACAAAGGGCATGACTTCATTTTTTTTTATGGCTGAATAATATCCATTGTGAGGGTGTATATATATATATGAAAATGTGGTATCTTCTATATATATACCACATCTTCTTTATCCATTCATCTATCAATGGACACTTGGGGTGTTTCTATAATTTGGCTATTGTAATAACACTGCAGTAAACACAGGGGTGCATATATCCCTTCAAAGTAGTGTTTTTGTTTTCTTTGGGTAAATACCCAGTAATGCAATTACTGGATTGTAGGGTAGTTCTATTTTTAATTTTTTGAGGAACCTTCATATTGTTTTCCACAGTGGCTGCACCAGTTTGCATTCCCACCAACAGTGCACAAGGGTTCCTTTTTATCTACCTCCTCACCAACACTTGTTGTTTCTTGTGTTTTTGACTTTTAGCCATTCTGACAGGTGTGAGGTGATATCTCATTGTGATTTTGATTTGCATTTCCCTGATAATGAGTGATGTTGAGCATCTTTTCATGTGTCTGTTGGCCATCTGTATGTCTTCTTTGGAGAAATGTCTGTTCATGTCTTTTGCCCATTTTTTTACTTGGATTATTTGTTTTTTTGGTGTTGAGTTGTATAAGTTCTCTCTCTATATTTTATTTTGATGTAGTCCCAATAGTTTAATTTTGCTTTTGTTTCCCTTGCCTCAGGAGATATATCTAGAAAGATGTCATAGCCAATGTCAGACAATTACTGCCTGTGCTCTCTTCTAGAATTTTATGGTTTCAAGTCTCACATTTAGGTCTTTAATCCATTTGCAGTTTATTTTTGTGTATGGTATACAAAAGTGGTCCAGTTTCATTCTTTTGCATTTTGTTGTCCAGTTTTCCCAACACCATTTGTTGAAGAGACTATCTTTTTCCCATTGGATATTCTTTCCTGCTTTGTCAAAGATTAATTGACCATATAGTTATGGGTTTATTTCTAGGCTCTCTATTCTTTTTCACTGATCTATCTATGTGTCTATGCTTGTGCTAGTACCATACTGTTTTGATCACTACATCTTTGTAATATAACTTGAAGTCTAAAATTGTGACATCTCCAGCTTTGTTTTTCTTTTTCCAGATTGCTTTGGCCATTCAGAGTCTTTTGTGGTTTCCATACAAATTTTAGCATTGTTTGTTCTGGTTCTGTGAAAAATGCTGTTGGTATTTTGATAGGGATTGCATTAAATCTGTAGATTGATTTGCGTAGCATGGACATTTAAACAATGTTTGTTTTTCCAATCCATGAGCATGGACTATCTTTCCATTTGTTTGTGTTCAATCTCTTTCATTCTTTTTTTAAAAGATTTTATTTATTTGAGAGAGAGAGGGCATGAGTGGGAGGGGGCAAAGGGAGAGAGAGAAGCAGGCTCCCCACTAAGCAGGGTCCATGCCAGGACCCTAAAATCATGACCTGAGCTGAAGACAGACACTTAACCAACTGAGCCACCCTGGAGCCCCTGTGTTCAATGTCTTTCGTCAGTGTTTTATAGTTTTCATAGTACAGATCTTCCACCTCCTTCATTGTTTATTCCTAGGTATTTTATTCTTTTTGGTGCAATTGAAAATGGGATTGTTTCCGTTTTCTTTTTTTAAAGTAGGCTCGGGGCGCCTGGGTGGCTCAGTTGGTTAAGCGACTGCCTTCGGCTCAGGTCATGATCCTGGAGTCCCGGGATCGAGTCCCGCATCAGGCTCCCTGCTCGGCAGGGAGTCTGCTTCTCCCTCTGACCCTCCTCCCTCTCATGCTCTCTGTCTCTCATTCTCTCTCTCTCAAATAAATAAATAAAATCTTTAAAAAAAAAAAAAAGATTTAAAGTAGGCTCCATGCCCAGTGTGGAGCCCAACATGGGGCTTGAACTCATGACACTGAAATTAAGACCTGAGCTGAGAATAAAAGTGGGACCCTTAACTGACTGAGCCACCCAGGTGCCCCAGTGGGTCTGTTTTCTTAATTTCTCTTTCTGCTGTTTCATTATTAGTGTATAGAAATGGAACAGATTTCTGTACATTGATTTTGTATCCTGAGACCTTACTGAATTCATTGATCAGTTCAGGTAGGGTTTTTTTTTGTTTTGTCTTGTTTTTTTTGGTGGAGTTGAAAGCAGGATTTTGAGATATTTGCCTTCCCATGTTCATAACAGCATTCAGTAGCCAAGAAATGGAAGCTGTCACAGAGGGATGAATAAACAAAATGTGTTATACATATACAATGGAACATTACTCAGCTTTCAGAAAGAAGGAAATTACGACATGCTACAACATGGATGAACCTTGATGACATTATGCTAAGTAAAATAAGCCAGTCATAATAAGACAAATATTGTATGATTCCGTTTCTGTGAGGTATTCAGAGTGGTCAAATTCATGGAAACAAAGTAGAATGGTGACTGCCAGGGGCTAGGGAGAGGGAGGAATGGGGAGTTGTTTAATGAGTATAGAGTTTTAGTTTTGCAAGATGGAAAGAGTTCTAGATATTGGTTGCACAACAATGTAAATCTACTTAACACTATATATCTGTACACTTAGAAATGTTTAAGATGGTCAATTTTATGTTATGTGATTTTTACTTTTTTTTTTTTAGATTTTATTTATTTATTTACTTGAGAGAGAGAGTATGGCGGGGGGAGAGGGGAGGTGCAGAGGGACAAGCAGACTCCCTGCTGAGCAGGGAGCCTGACACTGGGCTCGATCTCAGGACCCTGAGATCATGACCTGAGCCCAAGTCAGGCACTTACCGGACTGAGCCATCCAGGCATCCCTATGTGGTTTTTACTATTAAAAAACACAATGAAAAGGAAAAAAAGGTTATAAGAGATATAGATAGATAGATAGATAGATAGATAGATAGATGTAACAGGTACCATTCAGTCATTGAGCTCCCATTGTGTGATAGGCATTGGCACTTTTTGTATATTATTTCATTTAAACTTTGTAATGACTATACAGTAGCTGAATTGCTGAATCAGTGCTCATTAGAGGAAAATGTGGCCATGCTCTTTTAGGACAAGTGAACCAGCACAGAGTACATTGCTGATTTTTATCAGAGCGTCCTGACACCTAGTGGAGGTTGCTGCCTATAACACAGAGCCCTGCAGAATGGGCTAAATCAATGGTCACATTTAGTGAAGTCCTTTCTAGACCTTAATGAGAACTGAAGGTAAGAGTTTCAGTCTGGCAAGAAATAGACACATATAAATAATTTGAACCAGGTTTAAGATGATTCACAACAGCGGTGGCTGAGCATCTGGAGACCAATAATAGAGACACTTACCATTGGGAATTCTGGGGCATGGTACTTGAGAGAGACACTGCAATCACTTCTTTGATATTGTGACCTTCACCAGTCTCTCTCTCTCTCCCTTTTTTTTAATCTTCTTCACAATGTTAAGTATTTTCTTGATTTCATTTTCCTTTGCCAGTCACTTCTGTTTCTTTTCCCCTCTCTAGCCATTCATTTGTATTCCTGTCTACTTTGTCTTGTACCATGCCTGTAGCAACTCGTGGGCTGATTACTGACAGCTGAGAGACTGGAATAAAAGGAAAGAAACCTAAAGTATAGGAAATCCATTTGAGATGATTCTTCAGTTTAGTTAAATTAGCCTCAAAGGAAGTTAATGGCTTTAAAGGCTGCATTTGTTAACTGGAAAAAGGTTTCAGTTCTGCTAATTTAAACCAGGATTGAAGATGAAAGGTCCTAGACCCATAAACTATTTGAGAGCTATAATGTTTTTAGTGTTTTTCTTTGTTCAGTGTTCATGCCTTTTAGTATATTTCAAAGAGCAGTGAACAAAACCAGAATGTTTCTGTTTAATCTACCATGAGGGGAATGGGGCTCCCAAGGTCGGTGCCTGCCCTTCCCTGTATTGTGAACAGAAGCAGACCATGCTCTTCTCTCCAGGCACTCGGCGGACAGAAATGCTGAGCGTAAGCGGTTGAACAGAGTCAACCAGAGCTTGCAGGAGGAGTGGAAAAGCAGTGCTGCAATGAAGAGGCAGCGGGACCTGGAGGAGAAGGCTTTCGAGCGGTAATTCCCAATTGGAACCTCCAGGGCTTTGCAGAGAAACTCCCTCTGCTCCTCGTGGACTTTCCTGAGATCCTGGCATGGCAGAGAGGTTTCCAGGGCCAACTTCAGGTCTTTGGTTGTGGCTGCCTAGCACTTCTGGTGGAGAAGAGAATTCTGGGTTCAGTAGGAGCTACTGCTGTGCTGTATTAGAAAAGCCTGTTACGGAGATGGGACTGGAGAATGCCTGCTGTATGTTACATACTTGCCATCTCTGCCCCGATCTTTGCCTTCGTGTAGGCTAGCTTTATTGTCATTTTGTGGAGGGTAGGGAGGCATGCGGTGGGAGTGGCAGGGAGGTAGGACTTCTCCTTGGAAATAACTAGTTGGAAATAGGGAGATGGACTTTCCATCTGAACACATCCAAGGCTGACAGAATGGTCATTTAAGGGGGTTGTGTGTAAGATCGGCAACTGGGAAACCGAGATGCCCACGATGGATCCAACCAAGAACATCTTCCTGACATGTATTTGATCCGTGCCCCTGTCCCCAGCTATTGATCAACAATCTAGCATTAGGGAATCTAGTCATGGCTTTGAGAATTAACACTAACTTTGGAGAGGCGGCTCATCTTTTTGTCTTACTTTCGTCATTTGTAAAATGAGGAAAGCAGACACCTGCCCAACTTAAGCTAACAGAGGAGTTTTTGTGATCAAATAAAGAGAGGTTTGGAAGCAGGAGATGCCCCCTTGGCTTGAGCTCTGGGGAGCAGTGTAGGGGGGGACGGCAGGTGGGCCATCGCAGGTCGGTGGTGAGCACCTGGAGGGCAGGGAGCAGGTGTGACTTCTCTTTCCGTCTCTTCTACTGTGCTGGTCTCTAAACTCGGCCCCCAGCGCGGCCTCAGGGAGCGCCTGATGATGACTGCTCGTCCTCCCCTCTCTGCAGGGCATCAGACAAGCTCTTCCTCCTGGACCAGTGTGAGAAGTATCGGCGCTGCAAGCAGTGCCAGAGGCGCACCTCCAGTGTGGGTGAGAGCAACCTGTGGCCCCTCAACAAGTACCTGCATGGCTCCCGGTTGTTCGTATAAAACCCAAAGTTTGGATCCGTGGTTTCCTGGGGAAAATTTGTATCATTTCAATGTTTAGGTACGATGGTGAAACTACCTATTTTTACTTTAAAGGGAAAAAGTTATTGCACTGTTTTGGTGCTTTCAGGAGAGGATTGCTTTTTCACCCCTTAATGCATTCATACAGGCAGGGTCTCCCCTCTGTCTTCCTTCTGCCCCCACAGAACCCTGCTGCCACTGGGGGCTGGGGATGGGGGACCCAGCCTCATTCTGGCTCCCGAGGTGCTGCTGACCCAGCCCTGCCACTCCATGATGTTGTGTAAGAAACTTGGTCTTCATCTGTAATGAACAGTGTCCTAATAAATATTTTCTACATACCTGACTGTGCATCATGGTAAATTTTGCCATCTCTCCCCAGAGAACTGTATATGTGAACATTCCAGAGGTAAATCAGGTTATTTGCCACAAGTGGTCAGAGCAATGCTTTCTGAGTTTTCTAGTTGAAGACACACCTGGGACTTTGTTGGGACCTCAGGGGATCATACTCCCTTGGTGCCCTTCTTTCTTTTTTAAAAGATTTTATTTATTTATTTGAGAGAGAGAGAGTATGAGTGGGGGTGGGGATGGGGGTCGGGTAGGGGTAGAGGGGCAGAGAAAGACGGAGAAGCAGGCTCCCCACTGAGCAGGGAGCCTGATGACAATGTGGGGCTGGATCCTGACCTGAGCCGAAGACAGATGCTTAACTGACTGAGCCCCCCAGCTTGGTGCCCTTCTGGCTAACCATTCCATTATAGGTTTATGTTGGGCTAAGTGTGTGCTGTGAGGGGAGTCTGGCTGGCCTGCCAGGTGCTGCCGTCTTCTCTCATTGCTTCACCAGCATTCATGCTTAAGCTGCATGTGCTGTGGAAGAGGAATAGGTTCCTGCTAAAGGACCGATGTTCAGTTAAGGCAGGAGTGTTCTAAACCAAAAACCTCACTCATTTATCTTCATCCTTTACCTTTCCTCCATCTGCCCTGTCCACTCAGGTAAACCAGTGAACAAAGCTGAGTGAAGTCTAGATTTCTGAAATACAAAAGCTAGGAATACAGTCCCTTAGACTATTCACTTTCTGTCTGCCACATCTTTCTTAGAAAATGGGGGAAAGTATATGTGGTGAGACATCCAAAACATCGTTTATACCACAGGTACAAAATAAGAATGTTTGGAGCCCTGAATAGTTAAGGGGAAGGTATTTAGTCAAATTGATATTAAGCAAATTTTGTTGCTAATGTTGTCTTTGTCTATGGAAACAAATATGCTTACTGGGGACTGGAATTGTCTGGAAACTCTCCCCACAAGCTTCCTACATTGCCACTTCCGTTTTCTCAGAAGATCACTGCGTGCAGGACCAGTCATCACCAACCAATATTTACATATAAATAATTATATGTATGTATTATATGTATTATATGTATTATGTATTATATGTATTACAATATTTACAAAGAAAGAAAGAAAGAAGAATTACTAACTAGTTGCTGCCTCTGTCTTAATTTACTAGTCTGTGGGTAGCCTTTCCCCCATACTTGCCTGACTTGCCTGAAGTCCATACCTGCTACAGCCTTGGAGTACTTCTCTGTCTCAAATATCTAACAAATTACTATAATAGTATTGTATTAATATATTTTAAAATGTATATACTGCCTTGTTAAAGAGAAGAAGACTTTAGGCAATTTTGATAAGTTTACGCTGTAGGAACTGAACTTCTAATTTGTTGCCACTGGTAGTGGGTACTGACTCTTACTGTGTGCCAAGCACGCAGCTAATTTTTGGTGACCTGGAGATTAAGATTCATCAGCCCCTGTCTGCCTTCAGAGCACTTACCGTGCAGTGCAGAGGTGGGATGTGACTTAGACAATCTCCATGTAACAAAGTAAGTACCTAATAGTGCTGTGCATTGGTTGCTATGGAAGAGCAAGGTGGAGCTCTTGTGTCAGTTGAGCCTGGCAAGGAGAGGGAACTCTTTTGGAGGAGATGAGGCCTAAAATGAATTTGTAAGGATAAATAGGAAATAGCTAGGTGAGGAGTGACAAGAGGTCATGGCAAGAGATGTCAAGGCTCTCTGTTCCTGTCTATCAAGACTAAGATGGAGACGTGGTTATATGAGTTAGGTCATGAAACCAAGTATGTTTTTCTATCAACCATTTTAAGAGTCAGCTTGTATTATAGCCCATCATTAACACAACTGATTTCATATAATAAAGACAAGACAGTCTCTTTTTAGAAAAAGTCTTCATAATTTGGTATCTTCTTTACTGATATCAACTGCTCATCTTGTATTAGTCCAACCCTGTTATTAGGCCTGACTCAATCAGAATGTCTTTTCCTAAATCAATTTGAATTACTATTATCAAGTTCTGCCATTCCCATAATTATGGCATTGCCAGACAAGATTAATGTATCAAAAGTTTGTGGACTCTTTTGGGTATCTTATGAAAAATATGAACCTTTTCCTAAAAATATGTCCATTTTCGTCTACAGCATTTTGCATACAATCAGAGGTTTCCTAGACCACCTGGACACAAGTTAAGAACTCTTACTCTGAATAGCTTTCCTTCAGTATCATTACAAGCTCAAGCTATCAAAAGTGAGTTAAGTGAGGACTTTGTTTATTGAAAATGCCCTTTCAGTTTTAGAGAACTATGTCCATTTTTGTCTTTCTCTTTGACTCGTCATGAGAACAGTAAGATGAGAGTTGGGATAGCTATTCGAAAGCACATATTCCAGTATTTTTCAAACCCTCTAAGACTCAGTAAAAGAAATATATTTCATATTGCAACACAGAACTCGTGCTCATATGTATAATTGAGACAAAGGTTTTATAGAGCTATGCTTACCCATCCATCTGCAATACATTCTGATAATTTCTCTTTTATTTCATTAAAAGTTCTGATTAGACTGAACAAAATTGATTTAAAAATCCATTAATGTAAATAGATCGTAATCAGTCTGATAAACACACCTTTAATATAATCCTTCTTCCACTGTGCTCTCATAGTAATGTGTAGTATGCTGGAATTCATTAGTGGTTAAGATGGTATTATAATGGCATTCAGCCTGGAGACTGAGGAATGTGTAGGCCCTATCTTGTCATCATAAGCCAACCTCCTTCTTCTGAGATACCCCAAGAAAAGCAGGTAGCTATTTGCCAGCCCCCCTCCAAAAACAAAAGCTTAGTCCCTGAACTTCTACTTCCAATGCATTTGAGGACCAGAGAGAAAGGAGCCAGAGATAGAACAAGTCAAAACATATGCCCCAATGCCTAGACTGCAGGCTGGGGGAGGCCTTAGAAATTTAAGAAAGAATTACTAACTAGTTGCTGCCTCTGTCTTAATTTACTAGTCTGTGGGTAGAAGAAGAAGTGGACTATACACAGGCAGTCTTGAAGAGCTGTGCAGATTGGACTGTGTACTAAGGTGCCTAGTTCCTGGTTTTCCATTGCTGCTGTAACAGATTACCACAAACCTAGTTGCTTAAAACAATATAAATTTATTCTCTTAACAGCTCTAGAGGTCAGAAATCTGCAGTCTCATTGGGCTAGTCAAAGTGTTGTCAGGGCTGGTTCCTCTGAAGCTCTGAGAGGAGAATCCTTTTCCTTCCTTGCCTTTTCTAGCTTCTAGAGCCCTTTTTTACATTCCTTAACTCACGGCCCTTCCTCATCCTCAAAGCTAGCAGTGTAGCATCTCCAAATCTCTTTCTGCTTCTGTTGTTACACTGCCTTCACTTCTCCTTCAGTCAAATCTCCCCCTGCCTCTCTCTTATCAACACAGTTTTGATTACCTTTAGGGCTTACCTGATACTACAGGATAACTTCCCCATCTCAAGATCCTTAATCACATTTGCAGAATCCTATTTGTCATAGAAGGTGACATGCACATGTTCCAGGGGTTAGGATATGGGTGTTTAGGGGGACCATTATTCAGCCTACCACAGGGTGAATGGGATCTAAAATTCAGCCCAAGCTCCACTCCATGCATCAAGCCCTGCATCAGAGGGCATGCAGTAAGACACTTGCAGCTACTGGTACTTTTCCCTTGGGTCAAGGCTGCATAACTGTGTCTGAGGGCTTTCTTAGGGGTTTGGTTGGGTGTGGTTTTGCAGGATTATGGAAGGATAGGAGGGGGAGAAGGAAGGATATTTTACAATTCATGTGTTAAAAGCTTATTACGGTTTTTGGTTTTTTTTTTTGTAATGTTCTAATCCTATTTTGTAATGTTGTTTTGGTTTTTGCATTTTGTAGAGTCTTAAGTTTTGATATCAGGGTAATGATGACCTTATAAAAAGAGGTGAGAAATGTTCCCTTTTCTTCTATCTTCTGAAAGATACTGTATATAATTGGTATTATTTCTTTTTTACATACTTGGTTGAATTGAGTAATGAAGCCATCCACACCTGGAGTCTTCTTTGCTGGGAGGGTTTAAATGATGAATTCAATTTTGGTAGGTTGCATCATGGACTCTCAGCTGTTGTTGAATTTATGGGCATACAGTTGTTAGTAGTGTTCCCTTATCCTTTTAATGTCTGTGGAGTCTTTAGTGAAATCCCCTCTTTGATTCTCAATATAAGTATTAATTTTTGTTTTTTTTTTCTTGGTCAGTCTGGCTAGAAGTTTTAAAAAATATATATTAGTCTTTCAAAGAACCAGCTTTTGGTTCCATTAATTTACCCTACTTCTTTTTTTTTTTAAAGATTTTATTTATGTGAGAGAGAAAATGAGAGAGAGAGCATGAGAAGGGGGAGGGTCAGAGGGAGAAGCAGACTCCCTGCAGAGCAGGGAGCCTGATGTGGGACTCGATCCTGGGACCCCAGGATCATGACCTGAGCCGAAGGCAGTCGCTTAACCAACTGAACCACCCAGGCGTCCCTACCCTACCTCCTTTTTCTTCTCAATGTGATTAATTTCTACTCTTTATTATTTTCTATCTTTTGCTTGCCTTTGAGTTTGTATCTGTGTCCTAATTTTTGCCTCTTATGAGGACATCAGTTCTACTGGATTAGGGCCCACTCTACTGCCCTCATTTTAACTTAACCTCTTTAAAGGCCCTATGTCTAAAATAGTCACATTCTGAAGCACTGGATGTTAGGACTTCAACATACAAATTTTGGGGAGTTATACTTCAGTCTATAACAGTGTCTATTTTAGTCTTCATTCATCTGAGAGTGTCTTTATTTTGTTATTACACCTGAAGGGCATTTTTGCTGGAAATAGCATTTTGAATGGACTTTATTCTACTGTTTCTGGTTCCATGATTTCTGATGAAAAATTTGGCCTTTTGAAAGAAGGCATCCAAATGGCCAACAGACACATGAAAAGTGCTCAACATCGCTTGGCATCAG